TGAGTTCTGTAATTAGGGGTGGTAATTGTAACAGCTGAAGAGGATTTGTTGTTTGGGATATATCAGGGTTAGGAAATACCTAGAAAGAACAACATGAATGAAAGGGAGCCAGAATGGTAGCACACACCTACAGCCCCAGCTATTTAAGAAGCTAAGACTGGAAGAGATTATGAGCCCAGGAATTTGAGGTCAGCCTGGGCAACACAGTCAAACCCCAACTCAAAACAAACCCCAAATACTAAAAACAAACACACATGAAAGGGATTTCCCTTGGCATGACACAGTACAGATCAACAGGTAACATATTTTTATAAAGGGAACCCGGAAGCTCCGCTGGGGCACAATGGGCTGTGTGTTCCAAGGACATTTAAAATATGGGAGGTCTTGCTTCTGTTTCATTGTTGGAGAAACACTAACCGTACAAAGTTGACGGGACCATTGCCTTTCTATATATATTTAACTGACTTTCCCCATGTGTCAGTTACTAGAAAAAAAAAAAAAAAAACAGCAACAACCACCAAAAATCAACAGCAACAAAAACAACTTGTCCTGAAATTCTACTTTCCTTGGCTTCCCCTTGAACTTTGTTGAAAAGAATGCCCGACTCTTGTCTAATTTGGCTTTGCTATCCTGGCTCAGGGTGGAGCAAGTGAACCACTTGACCCAGTTTCCAAGGAGGTAGGGCCTACTGACCTTATGGCTCCCTTCCCCCTCTCACCAGGCTGATTCCTGCCCAGTCTGGTTTGAAAATAGTTCTTGGCAAATACCCTGGAGGAGACTAGAGCCACTAACAATAGCCACTCTCTTTTTAGCTTGCATCTCTTAGTACTTAGGGAAGTAAACTTGGAAAAACCAAAAATAACCTACATAATTGCAGTAGGCTACCCTTCCAGTCTATTTCTGCTATTGCCAACATCAGATGCCATTTCAGTAATATTTGAGCCTGTTGGAACTGAATGAGTAAATGTATAAGGGCTTGGAAATCAGCAAAGGGTTATACAAACCATTAGAACTGAGAAGGAAGATAATCTGAAAGTTTCAGGAAATAGAATCATTCAACCTCTAAGAATCGTGTGATTCAACCTAGGATTCTTCTGATTCTTTTGTACATTTTCTCTTCTTCTAATTCCTTTGCACATTTTATTATTTTATTTTATTTTTGGACTTGTATAGCAGCTTAAACTCACGGCCTCATGCTCTCTTGCTTGGCTTTTTTGTGCAAGGCTGGCATTCTACCACCTGAGCCACATCTCCACTTCCATGTGTTCAGGGATTGAAGAAGAGGAAGCAGCAAAGAAAGTAATGATGGCACCTGCATACATATTATGGCTTTCAGTCATAATCTTGGCGTGGAGGTGGGTGGGGGAGAGAACAGATTGAAACCAGAAATAGCTGAGGAGGGATTTGTTGAACATGGATGTGAGGTAAGACTCCATTTATTGAGATTGAGGCCGTAGACAAAAGTATAGTCGACATTTCAGGCCACTGTTAGACTGTGAATTATGGAGATTCAAATGTATGTGTTTTCTTCAGACGTTGTATGGTTTGGGCCGGGGATGTTAGCTCAGTGGTAGAATGCTTCTACCTGGCATGTGTAAGGCAGGTTCTATTCTAACAGCATAGGTCCAGAACATCAGGCTCAGAGTCTTGATTCTCATTGTAACCCCTTGCTTCAATTTATTTTTGTTATTGTAAAGGTGATGTACAGAAGGGTTACAGTTATATAAGTGATAATGAGTACATTTCTTTTGAACAGTGTCACCCCTTCTCTTGCTTTCTCCCAGTTTTTTTGTACCATCCCGGCTCACAGGCACAAGTTCATTTTCAACAGTGTCCAGTGAATACTTCTTCTTTCTAATAAAGATTAACAAGGTTAAAATATGGAGAAATAGAAAATGATATAGAAACATTTCTTGCTCCCCATGCAGGAAATAGCAGTTAGAGACTCCAGGGCCACTGGTTTGGTACTAGATTTGCAATTGTTTCAAAAAGCCAATTCTGCTATATCCTACTAGGTAAATCTGAACTAATTGTTGGGCAGCTTCTCAATTCCAGTTGTGATATGTCCTGAAATCCTCTACTGTGGGACTGTGCCTCAAGATGTGAATAGAAATCTGGGTCTGTTGCTCCCTAAGCTGTTCCTCTGTGTGTGTGTGTGTGTGTGTGTGTGTGCACGCACATGTGCACATGCATCCACACATGTGCAAATGCATATGCATGTGCCCGTACTGGAATTTGAACTCAGGGCCTGGACATTGCCCCTTAGATCTTTTACTTTAGTCTGGAACTTGATCACTGGAGCCAAAGCTCCATTTCTGGCATTTATTAGTGGTTAATTGGAGGTAAGAATTTCATCGACTTTCCTGCCCAGGTTGGCTTTGAACCAAGATCCTCAGATCTCAGCCTCCTGAGTAGCTAGGAATACAGGTGTAAGTCACCAGCACCCAGTTTTACATGTTTTTCTTTTTGTCTTTTATCAGTCCTGGGACTTGAACTCAGGGCCTGGGAACTGTCCCTGAGCTTCTTTTGCTAAAGGCTAGTGTTCCTACCACTTGAGTCACAGTACCACTTTCCGCTTTTTCTGTGTATGTAGTTCTGAGGAATTGAACCCAGGGCTTCATGCATGCTAGGCACTCTACCACTATGCCACATTCCCAGCCTTTTACATGTTTTTTTAAAGAATTAATTTCTTTGAAGCTGTATGACTCAGAATGGATTACCTCTTCAAGTGGATTAGCTCTTCAAATAATTGCCTTTTCTACCAGATTACTTCTTCTGGGCTACCATCAAGATCTTTCAACTGTATGCTCCAAAGTATATCTTGAATGTATCTACTTCTCTAACAATTTTTGCACATGGTAGAGAGACAATAATTTTGAATAATGAATGCATGAATAACCTTAATTCAATAGATTAACTAATTCTCCCCTACCCTGACTCATTTCCCTATAATTCATCCTCCACTTTTCAGGGACAATAATCTTTTTAAAATAGTAAATTAAAGTGGGTTACTGCAAGCCAGACCACACTAAAGCCACAAGCACACCCACGTCCATTTTCATTACAGCATTCCTACCATAGCCCCTCAGTGGATGAATGGATCAAAAAAAAGTGTAGTATAGGGCTGTTATGTGGCTTAGTAATAGAGTACTTGCCTAGCATGCATGAAGCCCTGGGTTCGATTCCTCAGTACCACATAAACAGAAAAAAACAATATGGTGCTGTGGCTCAAGTGGTATAGTGCTAGCCTTGAGCAAAAGAAACTCAAGGACAGTGCCCAGGTCTTGAGTCCAAGCCCCAAGACTGGCAAAAAAAAAAAAAAGCAAAAACAAAAAAATGTACACGCAATGGAATTCTATGCTTTCATTAGAAAGAATGATATTGTACCATTTGTAAAGAACTAAAAACATTTGGAAAAATTACATTAAGTGACATAAGCCAGACTCCAAGAAACATAGGTTGCATGGGTTCCTTCATTTGTAATATTTGGAACAAGCCTATAAATCTACAAGTAAACCCAATGGACAGTAAAAGACAAAAAGTTACACTTGGACATGATAAATTAAACAGGACTCTAAACATTCACATGGCTAGATGAAAGGTATTCTTAAAAGAGGGTCCCAAGGGCTCAGTAGCAATGCACGTATGACCATATAAAATGATGCCTATCAAAATGAACTCCAAGAAACGGAAACAAGAGGTTTTTTATTTTACTTTTTGTGGTTCTTCTGTTTTTCTTTCTGTTTTTTTTTTCTGTTTTCTTTCCGTAGCTGTTTTAGATTTCTGTACCTTTTGCTGTGCATGTAAGTTTATATGATTTGGGGAGCGGAAGAAATGGTGGGCCAAAGGGTGAACTTAAGTCAGCAGCGATACTAGACACTATGTTGGAAATGAACTGTACAACTTGGTGGGAGAGGAAGATTGGGAAAAAATCTGGGAGAAAAAGAGGGAGGGGGTAATAACACTGTTCACAATACCGGACTTATGTCTTAACTGTAACTCCTCTGTATGTCACATTTACAATAAAAAATTAAAAAATGAAGTGCTTAAAATTCTTTGAGAGATTGGAGGAAATGTGCACTGGTAGAGTGCTTCCCTAGCTTGTGTGGGGTCCTGGTTCAATCCCTAACTACACACACACACACACTCCTTCACATATTTCCCAATGAACTTGGGAATAAAACACTTCACTATGCATTAAGATGGCACATAATTACAGTCATCCGCATTCCGGGAATTGTTTGCCTGTTTGACATCTTTTGCTGTTGGTGGTGAGATCCTCGGATCTCAGCCTCCAAAATAGCTAGGATTACAGGTGTGAGCCACAGGTGCCCAGCTCTGTATGATATCTTTTGTTTGTCAACTGCATTCTGAGGATGTTGACAAATCTACCTATCCCATCAACTCTATCTTTAGAGATGTAGCATTAAAAAAAAATGCCTCCTTCAGATACCATCTTTTTAAAAAAACATTCCCTGGCTGGGCGCCGGTGGCTCAAGCCTGTAATCCCAGCTACTCGGGAGGCTGAGATCTGAGGATCATGGTTCAAAGCCAGGAAAGTCTATGCGATTCTTATCTCCAATAAACCACTAGGAAACCGGAAGTGGCCCTGTGGCTCAAGTGGTAGAGCGCTCGCCTCGAGCTGAAGAGCTGAGGGACAGTGCCCAGGCCCAGAGTTCAGGCCCCACGACCAACAAAACACAAACACCTCCTCCCACCCCCACCAACAACCAGGCCACACCCCTCACGTGACCAGGAAGTGCCTGAAGCCGAGGCTCTACCTCTCGCCAGAGGAAAGGTTTGAGCGCGCGCCAGCCGCTGTCAAGCTGGCACCGCCTTCTCGGAGCGCCACCCCCCCTCCCACCTTGAACCCGCCGCGGGCGGGCGTGCGTGACGCCATGACGCCGTGCGCGGCGCGGTAGCGACGGCGGCGCAGGGGGTGGGCCCGCCGCACGGCGTCGGAGGAGGAAGTTGCTCCCACTGCGCCCACCGTCGGCGCGCGGGGCAGAGTCCTAGTCCACGCCGCCGCGTCGCCTTGGCCGCCAGCTCCCCTCCATGTGCCCCGGCGCCGCTGCTTCCCTTCCTCAGGCCGCCGCCTACCCCGGGGTCTATGGAAGTAATGGAAGGACCCCTCAACCTGGTGAGTGGCCCACGGGGGGCCGGGGCCGGGACGCCCCCCTCACCCCCGTCCGTCCGCGCTTTGAGGCCTGGACGCGCGGCCCGTGGCGCCGAGGGGCGTCCGCAGGCCCC